ACATATATATATATACATATATATATATACATATACATACACACATACATATACACACACACATATATATATACACACACACATGTATATATATATATATATATATATATATATATATATATATATATAGTTTGTTCATAAGACATAAAAGGTTATCTGTTTATATATTACATACCTTGTTATATGGAATAATTTTAAGTGACATGTATCGATCTTCTTTATCCAGAATCTATGATTCATATAGCAGATGGATCGATAGGGAATTTAACTGAAAGCCAAATTCACAATCCAAGTCAAACCACATTAACAATAGTTTGCTGATGTGGCATCTAAACAGTATCCCTATTTAAATAAATTTAAACCAAATTAATAGGATTTTCAGGTCCATGATGAGCTGATGGAATCTCAGATCAGAAATGTAAATCTGCAGCTGTACTTGACAGCATTTAGAAAAACAACACACAAAACCAAATAAAAAGACATTAACAAGAAGAGTCTCAGTACATGATATCTGTGCTTTATAAAGATGAAATCTATAAAACACTGCAACATTCCTTCACTCGTACATGTTAGAATTACAAAAATAAAATAAACCTTTTACGGTCAGAGTTTGTGAACATTTGTTGCTCTTAGCATTACATGAGAACATAAACTTGAGGGGGGGAACAAAAAAACAGTAGTTTACCATTAAACCTGAGACATGGACTCAACACGCTCATTCAACACTACTTCAGTTAATACTTATTTCAATATGTGAAATGACACTCGGGCAGATACGCCACAACTACTAATCAAGTTCAGATAAATATTATCTACATATTAAAATCACTTTTAGGTAAGACGGACTGAATAAAATCTAAGACTTCATTAAAAAAAGTTAAGAGATTAATACATGTGAATCATAAAACAGAGTTAAGATACAAAAAAGTATACTTTTTAAGTCAGAGCTATTTTCTGGCTAGCTTCCTTTGTACAGCACCGTAGCATCTGATGATAAAGTGCTCTGTTTCTTATCTCTCTCATCCTCTAAAATCAGAAAATAAAAAATGTTGCATTTTGGAAATTTACATTACAAAAAATGTACTAACAAATTTCCTCTATGGAGAAGTCTTTAAGATTCAGCAGTAAAACATTAGTGCCTACTAAGGATGCTTTTATAAGCCTCAGTCTTTTTTTTTTTCACAGTGCATCTGAGAGTCATCTATCCTCTTCATCTTTCCCAAAGATCTTCCTTCTGGGAATTTGCAGCAGCTGATCAGAAATGGACCACTTGAGGTCTTGGTGAGGAGAGGGGATAACAGTAGCAGCAGCAACCCCCCCAGATTAAATGCTCTTCCATGAAAAAGCATTTATTCTGAAGATTTGCATCTTGAAAAATGTATATTTGTCTGGTTCACACTTTGCCCTTCGCCAAGGCCATTCGCTGTGCCACAGTCTTGACAGGAACTTCCCTGCGGATCACTTTTACATGGATAAAGAGCGTTGCTGGGGACAGACTGGAACCATCTGCCTTCAGTAGGTGAACATGTCGATACCCTGAGAGGAAAAAGCATTTGAAAACATGTTACAATAGAACAATCTGGGGGGGAAAAGTGACACTTTACTGCGATGAAGCAGAGCCTTTTCAGGGTACCTGTGCGGAGGCTTGTGAAAGGCAACGTGAACTGTCCCACGAAGTCGTTCTTGGCAGTGTGGTCGTGATCATGAACAACAAAGCGCACCAGAGCCAGTTCAGGGACCTGCAGCTGGAAGCTTAGAGTGCAGTCCCATCTTGGGTTGAAACCTGTAGAGGGCGCACAAGAGCTGTAAATAAGTCCTGTGGATTTCCTAATGTAAAGCAGACCACTTATAAATAATAAAAACATCTAACAACTACAATATGTAGCTTCTTCTGTTTTGGTTGTTACTGAAATATACATTAAGTCAGCAGATAATAATTAATTAATTATTTAAAGGATAAAGCCTATCCAAGGCAACCTGGTCCTTATGGAGAAAAGTAATCACCCTGAAATTGAAATAACTGGCAGGAGTCGTTTGGATGGATTATGAAGCACAGGGCTTTGCATAAATGTTTTGATTCAGCTGCAATACAGGGTTTTTACTCATGAGTAAACTTTTATAAGCCACTCCAAAATTCTAATATTTTTTTATGCTTCAAGTCATTCAGATGTGGACTCGTTTTTTTATTTTTTATTTTATTCTTTATTTCGAACATGCAAGAGAAAAACAAAAAAACAATAAAACAATGTTTAAAAACATTGGAGAGAAAAACAACAAACAAGGTACCCTTCTTTCCTAAATTAATATACCTCTATTACATGTGCAAAAAGGAGTAGGAAGAAGTAAAACTTATGTACTCCTACCCCTTTAATTCTTGTATTTCTTCATTCTTCACTCGTTAGTGTGGTTAAATCTTTGCCCTCCTCCATTATCCAAGTGTTATGGCTAAAAACTAATGGCAAGATATTTCTCCCTCAATGTTTTCTGGTAGAGAGCAGAGTTTATGTTTCTATTCATTTCTGAAAGTCCTCTGTTAGTTTCATGCCAGGCGTGCTTCCCTTCTAAATAGTTTCACTTTTGCTCCTTTCATTCCACAGACAAGTTTTTCAAAAGTCTTGGAGGCAATAAAATTTGCTTTCAGGTAAATGTGAGATGAGCCGAGGTCGGCCCCTTCCAAGAAGTTTCAGCTATGTTCCAAGTTTTCTCTACATGTGAATTGTGACTCTTACTGTTGTTAACTGCACTCCCAAAATCTTAGAAAATACTTCTTGTTTACTCTTTCCACTCAAACGAATGACACTAAATTTCCCATCTGTTTTAGAATTGATTAAGATCAGAGAGTTACCCAAAGCAGGTGCTGCTGCAGCGGAACCATTAAAACCATTAAGGGCACCAGCCTTCCCAGTATAACTCTCTGTTTATGCCACTGAACTGGCACAGGCACAGAATGGACATGCCACACTGAAAAAATAACTAATACATCACAACATATTAGTTATTGATGTTTGTAGTCTTAATGCACAAAATCCTAAATATGTCTCAGGTCATTCTATTTTTTCCTTTTAATTTTCTGCTGCTTTTTTTTATAAACAAATATAATTTCATAGAATAATATCAATGAATAAACAATATGATTTAACTCTCACAGCTGTATAACCACAAGCCTGCTAAAACCAGTTATACTTTGATACCTAATTGGTTTTATTGGACATTACCGTTGTTGTCAATGCGCTGGGTTTTATTTCTCGCCTTATCGATGGGCACTCCATGGATTTCTACCACCACCTGCGGGTCTACGATGGAGCTGGCTTTCTCTATATTTGTTTTTGGCAGTTGTTGAGCAGATATGATCTAAAACAAAAGAACGACAATAAACGTAAAGGAAATGCATTAGAGAAATGTGTCAATATTTCTTGATATAGGTTAAAGGCGGTAACTTGCAAGGTATTAAAATCTAAAGAAAAACAAATCAGTAGAGATTTAAGGAATTTCTGTGAGATAATAATTAGGTTAGTTCCAAATAAGCCCAGTTTTAACGGCTCACTTTGATGGTCAGCTGGGTGGGGGTGTGCCCGGGGCCTCCGCCTGTGTTCTCCGGGTTAAAGTTGGACGTCGGGCTGCGCATAAAGCTGGGCTTCAGAATATAGCCACAGCGGCCATTGGGGAGGAAGCGACCCTGGTTGAGGTCCATTTGCTCCCCGGGGGTCTGGAAGTTAAGAGCCACTAAAGGACAACAGAGAGGGAAGTGAAGCCATCAGCATGAAAGAAAAATAAAGAAGTCAAACTGAAACATGAAACTAAAAAAAAAAAAAAAAAAAAGGCAAACAAACATAATCCCAAACACCCAAAGGATGACTTTTCAACTTGAATAGATCTAAACTGCTGTAGTATTGCAGCCTCTACTGCTGTTTACCAACCCATGTGGCAGCCGCCGTTCCACATTTCCTGAGGATCAAAGTTGGATGACTGGAGGCGCTGGCCAGAGGGGTAGATCCGGCTCAGCTGCTTGCAGTTGTGCTGCACAAAAAGCTTCCCTGGATATGAAGAGATGGAAAACAGCATGAGATGAAATGAAGCACTGGAGGATGATTACACATTCAGTACTGAAAAGGCTTGACACCACTAATCTTTTGTTTTACTTCCTCTATTTATACCAGAGTCTTTGATGAGTCTGAGCGCCTCGTTTTCAGAGAAAGAGGACATTTCATCCGGGGTGCATTTAGATGCACTTTCAAACCCTCGGAAGGAGACGCTCTTGCAGTACACCACCAGCTTTGAAAGCTCGGGGCTCAGCTTGGAACAGACCTAAGAACAGAAAATGTTTAACCCCTAATGGTTAATTAGGTTAAACATTTACTTTTGACGCAGAAACAATTTGAGTCTTAAACATCTGAACTGACCTTTGCAGGATCGCCCTTCGGCGTGTTCTTGTTCATGCTTCCTTGTTCATCCTCAAAGCTTGAGGAGAAGCTGGGGAAGCTTGCGTTCTTTTCCAGCTGACCAAGGTGAGGAGTGTGCCTCTTCCCCTTTACCAAGATCCGCCCCTTAAGCTCCTGGAAGAAAAAGTAATGGGTACAAATGATTTGATTAGAAAAGCAGACAGTCTAACAAAGTTGGAAGGAGTTCCCAGCGTGTGTGAGAGTGTATACTTCAGGGGAAGGAAGCTCTTTCAGGGGCAGGTCGCTGAGAGGCTTGGTTAGCAGCTTCTTCCCCAGAATGGTGCGAAGGTGTTTAGCCATGACAGCCTGCTGCTCCACAGAGCAGTGGTTCTCCAGGGAGAGGATCAGGGGGTACGGGGACGCCTGCAGGGAGAAACACACATTCAGGTAATGCTAAAAAGATCCAGTTAATAGTGTAAATTAGGGCTGCAACTAACGGTTCTTTTGCACATTGATTCATCTGTTGATTATTTTTTCGATTAGTCCATTAACAATCAGAAAGAAAAAGATTCTGTAAAGGCTTTTTATGAATTTAAAACAAGTGAAACTCAAATTTTTCCACTTTAGGAGTTCTGGATAGAGCATATTGACAGACACATTTTTGTAATCTTAAATGCAAACTTATAAATAATAAAAAAAAAAGAAAATTACTGCTCTAAGTAGGTTGCTCTGTCAGCTAAAGGCATGTTTTAGTCTCTATACCCCAGTTAAGGATTAATCGATTACTAAATAAGTTGACGATTATTTCCATAATCGATTAATCACTATTAATTGTGTCAGCCTTAGTGTAAATCCAAACCAAAATACCAGCTACCGGAGAAGCTGCAAGCATTAAAGGGAAGAAAAACAGGTCTAGGCGATGAGTCATACCTTAAAGGCGTACTGGTTGATGGTTTCAATGACCTCCTTAAAAGGAACCTTGGAGGTGAGGGTGTGGCCGTGGTAAATGGCAGGCTCGCCTTTATCTCCATCCCAGCAATCCAGCTCCACACAGCGGCAGCCCTGATTCAGAGCCCTGACAGGGGGAACACATTCATGTCACCATATAGATAACCGCTCTGCTGCCTTGGTTAAAACCAAGCTCCCTAAAGAGGTTTTATTTCTCTCCCTGTCAACACACCGGATGTAAGGCTCTGTGCTGCTGGCGCCCGTCACCTGGTCCTTGGTGAGGTAGGTGTTGTGTGATGAGGAGATGAAGTAGTGCGCCAGGGGCTGGGTCATGTCCTGATAGATCTGACCATGTTCGGGGTTAAAGGCGTCGTTTTCCATCGATAGCATGTAGGTAATGAAACCATTCTTTGTCATGCACATCTTCTTCTGAGCTGCAATCAATGGTGAAAATAAAAACAATAATCACTTTTGGATGATTACTGATTTTATATATATATCTCTACTATAAAAGAAACTGTTGCTTTGCAAATGCAATTAATTGTCCAGCCCTAGTGTCATTTGTCATTGTCTTTTACACAATTGTATTGATTAGATTATGTGAATGTTATTTTACCCATGTTTTAGCTGTTTTTGTTTACCTGTACTGTTTTATGTTTTATTTATTTATTTTTATTTTCTGTACAGCAATTTGGTCAGCTGTGGTTTCTTTTAAGTGCTTAACAAATACAATTGGATTGGAAGTACAAAACAAAGTTAAATATACAGAACTTCAAAAAGACTGGATAATTACAGAATAAAGCATTTTAAAAGCATTGAAATAATAAACTAAGGAATTTTACACTTAACTAATTAGTTTGAGCATAAAACAACACTTATACAGTTAATGTTTTTAAGACACAATTACTGTTATGTCTCTCTTATAAAACTAAAATGGTGAGACAAAAATCAAAGAGGCCCCTGCTTTTATTGCTTGAATAGCTGGTTCCAAGGACCTACCCAAGTCATCAAACTCATAGGCGAGTATGAGATTTCGTGCTCTATTCAGAGAGGCGTCCTCTCCCTGGTCTCCCAGGAAGTCTCGCAGCTCCGCCATGGTAAGCACAGAACCGCTGCTGGAGTAGTGCCTGAACACGGCGTCCAGCTCAGGTCGTCGCATGAGCTCCCTGAAGAATTCCTCGATCTCATTGTGATCCAGGCGGCCGTCGCAGGATTTATCACAGCGCTGGGACACAAGGCAAAGGAAACATACCCTTTATAATACGCTTTGTTCACGAAACGGTTTCAAAATCCTGGATGGAAATATTTCAACCCAACTCTGAGCACTTTATAAATATGGGGAGTGGAGAAGGAGGATGAAAACAAGAGATTGCTGCAGCAAAGTGTTGACACAGCAGATATTAATTCCACCTAAGCAAAGACATAACCTCAAAGAGCAAATAAACATGCAGAGGGATAGTAATTAAACAGAGACTGGAATTTAGATCATCATAGAAACCTGAAAACGCACTAAATAGACCATAAAACTCCTAAGCTGATATTAGTGACATTTAACAGAGAGGAGGCAGACCATGAGGCCCGGAAATAATGTCCCCACCTTGAATAAACAGCGAGCATGCTGCTCGTTCAGGTCGATGTTGATCATCTGCAGCAGCCGTCTGACCTCTTCGTAGGTCATCTTACCATCCTGGTTTTCATCTGCACGCTTCAGATAGCCACGGATCCAATTGTAGAGGGTTAAAGAAAAACAAAGAGGAAACTTTGCAAAGACAACAGTGCATTACCATAAAACTGAACAACCTATCCCAACTCTAATCTAAGAACATTGAGTTAGTGCCCTAAAACCTTGCGTGAGATAATAAGATCAAAAGGTGTATGTAGTGGAAATATTTTCTATGTTGATCTGATTTATCAAATAATCTATGACTTCATCTTTTTTTTCTCCCGTCTGAAGGCCTTGCATTGTTAGCAGGTGAAATACAAGGAAATTTAAAACAAAACACCCAATGGCCTTTCCCAGAAAACTAAGACTCTTAAGACCTCAACGGTAATTTCCTTGCATGTTTTTATATCCAGCTTGGATTCAAGCACCTAAAACAAACATAGGCCTTTAGCAAACAAACAGGACGTGATTGCCTCTAACCCGATCAGTAGGGCAGCCATTTGAATAAGAGGCCTTGAGCCAGAGACACATTCAAAGGTTGCAGGAGTTCAAGACCCTTGATCAAAAAATAAATTGTGCAAAGATAAGAAATGCGATGTTTGCAAAGGGTGTTATTTTCTCCCATGTATAAAGTTAGAAGCTTAATTATGAGATTAAAAATCTAAAGCTAAATATTTATTTACTTGAAGGGATTTTAAGGATCTCCACCAGGGATACTAATAAATACTGAAGGTACTTTAAACATGAATATACACCAGAACCATGGATAGTTATATATCTGATACTGAGACAGGCTCACCTGAGTGATTGTAATCAACATTTCACAGTTAGACTATATTTAGAAAAGCCTTTTGAAACATAATAATTACGTCTCACCTCAGCTATGCTAAGTGCAGTGACAGCAGAGTTAGTTACCATAGCAATGCTGCCTCAGTTACTGATGATTTGCTTTTTTCATATATGTTTTTTTAGGATATTGGTCCAGCTTTTCCTTCTGTGTCATATGTGTGACACGCTCCTGTAGGAAGCGGAGACCTCGCACCCAGCACTGGGCCTCTTCAGCAGAGGGGCACATCAGGTCCAGGCTCTTCCTGGATCCCTTGAAGATCACTGTGAAGCACTGGTTGTCTGGCATCGTCCCGGACAGCCGCCTCAGAGCATCCGACTGGCAGCCTTCGCTCACACAGTCCACCTCTGTCACTGCAACTGGTGGTAAAACAGAAGGCAGAGTTTGGCGTGTTTTCAGGGCCAAAGCAGGTCACAGCACCAACACAGAGCGGCTAAAGATCAGGTGTTATAAAGGGTTGTAAAACCCATTAAAGCAAACTGATTGTAAAGTTTAAGGTTGTGAAATCACAGTAAAGCCTTAAAAGAACCTTTGATGAACATAAAAAAGCATTATGCAGCTGTTTTTCAGCTATAAATATCCAGTTAAATTACTTGTTAGCAGGTTTTCATTTTTAAAATCTGCAGCACAGAGCATTTCATCACTGGACTTCAGCGGCTTCTTGATCACAACCAACATTTGCTGATGCAGCCAAGGCTTTTCTAAGAGCCGTAAATCTGTAAATCTCACGTTTAAGAAGAGCCCACAAGCTCTTAATGAGATTCAGTCAGGTGGGGAAGGGGGGCCAGCTCATTAGCCGCTCATCTTTGAGGCCTTATTTAAAGCTACAACCTCTTCCTGGGCCTCTAGAAATCCGGCAACGTGCCCACAAATGTTGATTGTAAGAGCTGGAAACAGTTAAAGCTTGACCTGTACATGTAGTCATCAGGTCCTGTATTCTGTAATAGTTCTACATGTTTTCAATGTGTCTTTGCTCCAGCACACCTGCATCAAATGATTGAGCAATCTGCCCAGCAGCCAGCACGGCCTGCAGAGGTCTGTTAATCTCCCATTCATTCAAGTCAGTCAAGGGGAGGTGGTGGAAAAAAAACATAAACATATAGGAGACCACTCTCCTGTTGACAGGGGTTGAATGTAATAAGCTTTGAAAATCCTGAGAGCAAAATTATGTTTTTTTTTGCTATGAACCGTTTAATAATAACACAGTTATTTTTTATATATCATAAAATCACAGTTTTATTTTACAGACCAATTGAAAATGGTTCATAAGATAGAAGCTAAAGAAATACGAAACCAGATTTTGATAAACGTTTTGAATATAAAAATCAGAAAAGTGTGGCATGGATTTGTAATATTTTCCACTGTGCTTTGATATGCGAAAATACAAACCAGCCAACATCCTTCAGAAGTATAAGTATTACATAAAGTTCACCTATGCATGGTTATATTTCTGCAAAAATGGGTCTGTTAAGGTTTAAGTGATTTGTCAGAGAAGGCAGGACCATGAAGACCATTGAAAAGAAGTCAAATCTTGATGGATGATAAAAATTCCCAGAATTTTTTGGGATAAACAATAAAAGGATTGTCATTCAGTTTAAATCCAAAGTACTTCCACATCCACGTCACAGCTGTCCGCTTGAAATCAACTGCATCTCAATTTTTCCAAATCTCAGCTAGCGTTTCTCCTGCTTGCTATTCCTCTGTTATAAGACTCTCATGCAGCACCTTGCAACGCTAAGGAAAAGGAAACGGAAGGGGTGAATAGAGATTGATACGATCTTCAGTAAAAGCAGAGAAAGAGAGACAGAAGGAAGACAAACAAGGATGCAAAACCTCATTTAAGTTTATTGTACAAATAATTGATTCATCAATTATAGTCACTGGCCTAAATGATGGAGAAGTTTTATGCAGGGTTCTCTGTCAAGAAATGAACTTGCTCCTGACTAATTGACCCTGTTACACTGTGCAATTTTATCAATATTAAGGACGAGGGTCAAATGAACTTATATAGGATGCCAAGTTTGATGTGTGCTTATTATAAAATGACAGTTTACTACTAAACAGGAACAGAACAGCAATAATTTGCCTTATCATAGTCAAACTAAACAGACAACATGAATGAAGCCCTTGTAATTTGGGCATTTATGTGCAAACAAATCAGAAAAAAATTCTCATGATTTCTTTACTGATTTATAATTAAAGAGTAAATAAAAAAAATACAAAAAACACCCATATGCATAACATGACATACAAAAAGAGTACTTGAGAGGACAAGCGCTTTTCTATCAGCTGATTAAAGACGTACTTCATAGCCGACAGTCAGTTATTGTTGATTATCTTTGGTTTCAAACACTAACAGTCATCCTTTGTGAACTTGTTTCATTGCGATGTAAAATCACAGATTTAGAGATTCCACCGAAGATTTCCCCACGATTCTCCTTCAATCATTCTCTTTTACTGCACGGCCCATGCCAGCTAAGCCACAACTTTTTTACTGTTTTAGCACCAAGAAACCCATAGTCGATTGATAACCCAGTTGTGCAACAACTAGTGTTTGTCCTCACAATAGCCACATTCTCCCACTAAAGGCCATAAAAACCTCCTCTCCCCACCTCTTAAAAATGTCTCCACATTCTCTCCTTGTGATTATCCAGGAGATGTGGCAGAAGTAACATGCATGTGTTTATGTTTGGAGTAGAGCATTCAGTCAGTGGACTGTTGGCCGAATGCTTTGGAGCATTAGACACAACCATCCGTGTCTGCAGGCGTCAGACTTTGAGAGGGTGCTAAAAATAAAAAAAAAGAATCCAAAAACTAAGCAAACCAAGACTTGATCCTCTGCAGACTGTAAAGTGTCTCATGACGCTATCAGCTGAAGTGGTTAGGCTGGTCTCATGTGGCTTTGTTGTCACCGTTGAAGGGTGTGCTACAATCTGAATGCATCTATTTTTAGCTGCAAAAGAATCAAAAGGCCTTCACCATTTACTCAACTTGAGCCCGCCCCCTGCCCCACCCCACAGGTCCCTCAGATCGGCATTAAAACCGTAAATTCAGCATCAACATAAACAGAGAAGGAACACCTGAGACAAAGGTCGGGCAATAAAAGAAAGTGAGTGTTTCCATTTACGTCAGCAGACAATTGAGCAGCAAAGCTTCACGAAATGGAGAATGTGATGCTTTTAGTATATCAACAATCAAAAACTGAGATATGATTTTTGTTTGTGTGTCATCATGAGTCACATATCAGCCACACAATACTAACATCTATTTGACAGAGCTTCAATAGGACATGTTTTCACCTGTTAAGAAAATATTAAGCAAATAATTCAGTCAGACAAATGGTTCATTTATTTTTTCCCTCATTCAACACAGAGATTACAAATAAACAAGGAAATTAATGCATCTGCGCAAAAACAATTCAGCATTATGGTGAAATCTATTCCGCCTGGATGGACAAACAGGGACTTTAGATCACCTGGGTCTTTATTGTACTGCAGGCATCTCCAAAGTCGGTCCTTGAGGGCCGCTGTCCTGCAGGTTTTGGAGGTTTCCCTGCTCCAGCACAGCTGATTTACATTGATAGTTGATTAACAGGCTTTTGCTGAATTGCGATCATCAGAATCAGTTGTGCTAAAGCAGAGAAACCTCTAAAACCTGCAGGACAGCGCCCTCGAGGACCGACTTTGGGGATGCCTGCTGTACTGTTTAAAGACAGTGGTATCTTATTTTGCAACATTTTGCTTTTTGGTTTGGCAATTTAACCAAACCTAAGTCTAAAGTTGTTTAAACTCAAAAACAGTCACAGAATTATTATTCACTAAAGCTCTTTTAATTGTCCATGTACTGAATTGTGCTATACAACTAAACTTGCCTTTGCAAAGATTTCCCCACAATTCTCCTTCAGCCATTGTCTTCTGCAGCCCGGTACATACCAGCTAAGACTTACCTTTCTTACTGTTTCAGCACCAAGAAGCCAATAGTCTCTGCAACCCAGTTATGCAACAATCAGTGTTTGTCCTCAAAACAACCACATTCTTCTGCTAAAGGCCATAAAAACTGGGGTTTGAACCTACAACCCTCTGGTAGCAGGACAATTTCCTGCATCCTACTCTACTGTCACCTCCATTACTTATTATTACAATACTGCATAGATGAAGGAAATGTAAAAAACAATCCTTTAAAGATTTTGCATAACATATGCTGATGAAGATTCTCAGTCATCCAGGTAATACTCCTTCCGTAAAAGTTTAAAAAAAACAATCCACCAGACTTGGTTTCCAAGGTTTGAAGACGTGTCGCTTCCCCTTTTTGAATTGAAAAAGCTTCCCGGAGGGGAAGCGAAACGTCTTCAAACCTTGGAAACCAAGTCCGGTGGATTGTTTTTTAAACTTTTCCGGAATTTGCATAACATAGTTGATAAAAAGAAATCATTGATGCAAATTTGTAGGTGCACGTCCATAATGGGAATTCCCCAGTTTGCCACATCCCAGTTCAGCACTGCAGCTCCTCATCTTGTCCCTTTTACAAGCTGTGTTGGTTTTGTGTTCACAATGAATGTTATAGTGGATAAATTAATACATCATCTCAAGTATTCCTGTATTACCAATGCACAGTATAAAACATAAGATTTTCTTCATCTTTATAAACAGTTCATCACAGCCAGTGTGACAGTGCTACATTTATTAGGCTATTCATTAGTTTTCCATTTGCATCTGTAACTGTTACTGCTATGAGTTCTTGATTGATATATTATTTCCTGACCGCTGGGTTTTGCACATGCTTCTCTCCCGTTTTGCATACAATTTCCTGGAAGCAGATTGCCTTGCATGCATGTTCGCTACCGTAATAGAGTTTTTCTATTGACTGATCAGTAGATGAAGTTGTTAACAGCTGATCATCATTCTAAATATCAAATGCTGCCGGATAGTTATTGTAGATTGTCAAGAAGACAATGGCCCACCTTCAACATGTCTCAATGTGTGAAATATATCCATATATTTTATGCCACAAACAAAGATTTCTCCATGATTTTCCCACAATCATCATCTTTCGCCTGGTATTATAAAAGGTTATCAATGCCAAAACGTTAGACCCCACCCAAAAACATTTCTTTAAATACCTTTTTGATTTTTTTGAATGTTATTTATATTTTCAGTAGTTTGGTAGTTGAAAATAAAGCAAAAGCAGAAAGACATTAATATGCTTTAATTATTTATCGCAGCAGCATTCACCAGTACTATCAAATATAATTAGTTGGTAAATGTGCTGCCTTCTATGCATTCAGAGGTTGGATGACATGAATGCTCACTTAAGCTAATGTTGGTGCTTTATAATCTGAAAAAAAAAAAAAATAGATCTTCTGCCTTTTAACAAAGCACTAACATGCATACTTATGCTGCTTACAGGATATTTTAGCTTTATCAGTCCGGTACCTTTAATTCCAACCAATATTAGTTCTTTAGAAGTGCTCAGACAAGATGACCTACTTTAAACAATCCTTTTCTCTCCCTATTCTGATGCTTCGGTGTTTGAACAAATTGCATTTGCTTCATCTAGAGTCCTGGAGGAACTGAGAAGCAACTGAACAGGTGCGTGTTTTCTGTGAAAACATAGAGGCACTTAAAGCAATAAGAGACCAAATTTCTGAGATTCTTGTTCTACATTTACTGTGAGAAAAACTGCATTTTGCAAGTAAGTGAGAACACGTTGTAAACCAAAACAGATTTGGCTCCTTAACTTGGTTCCAGGAAAAATTCAGACATAATCTACTTTGCATGCTTCCGATTCCGGTCAATTCCCAGCAACCTTCGAACAGACAATTACTGAGCATTCACTTAATTGCCTCTAAATCAGCTGGTAAATATTTTAGAACGAAGAATACAAAAGAATCACAAAAGCAAAACTGGCTTCTGTTAAATATACAAATCTGAAACAATGTTAAGAATCAAGTCTAACCTCTTTTGTGAGCTGATGACAGATGGCTGCTGGAGATTTGAAAGACTGATGAAAAGAGCTTTAGTTATCAGTTTTGTCTAACTTTCTGGAAACACCTGCAGCGATAACATCCTTCAGACTCTGTCTTCTCTGCTTGAGTATTATTTAACCATTTATTTCACCTGCTGCAAACGGGAACAAATAGTATCCCCATGAAGGAGCCGGTTCTTTTTTGGCTTCTATACCCTTTAAACCATGCAGTTGTGGACCATAAAAATACTATTTTAAAGAAAGCAAAAGTAACATGAAAAGAAAGAATAATGCTGACGAGAATTAGGAGCAGGTTCTATTTAATTATAGACCAGACACCTTTGAAGCAGCATGTGAGGTATTTCCATGTTCACTGCCTGTAGGTTAGGCTGAACTTCCTTACAAGCTGAAATGCTTGGGTTTCCTTTCGTCATTCCCATTACAGCATATGTTCCAGGTTATTTACAGTCTTGAGAGACAATTTTTCCTGCTTGTTTTATAACTAACTTCCCTTCCCTGCCGAATCACCATTTTGTTAATTACCATAAATCTATCCAATCCAATCCTTCTGATGATCCCTTTGCATGCACCGCTTTGAGTCTGACTTACATGTCTGCTGGGATTTGCCTTTGAGGGAGCTTTTTGTCGTCTCACACCAAACGGTGAGCCCGTCCTCCAGCAGCTTCAGGCTGCGGCTCTTCTGCCATTTCAGAGAGCGAACTTTCACCATGCTGCAGCCCTGCATCATCACTTGGATGTCCTCATTGTCCAAAATGCCTGCAGTGGACACAGACAGTAGAACATAAGCAGAGCTCAAAAATGATTTATTTTGGGAGATAAGAACAAATAAGTTGTTTCCACTTGTGAGCAATAATGCATAGAAATTCAATCTCTTATTTTAATTACATTTGGACTTTTTAAACAATGAATTAAGCTGATTCAACAGACATTAAATTATGAAGCTGTAACCACCGCTCTCCCGCTCACGCCCCCCATGTTTTCTATGCAAACCTTGAAGCCATTAGATCATTGTTTATGCTGAAGTGAATTTGAAATTTAATTTCATGCTTTGGCAAGATACATTTTCACAAACCAAAAGCAATATAAAGAACTTTCTTTAACTTTTGCATTTCTATAGCTAATCTGTAAATACATGACAATCATTGTTGTGAACGCACCAAGGTAAGATAGCTCCTCTTCACTCCACAGCTAATCAAATAAAGATCAATATTATGGACAAAATCTTAAAAAAGTAAGATATAACTTGATCTAAGGGTACCACAGGAAATCAGAAATCATGCAAGCATTAAAGTTTTTTTGTGACTATTTTACCAGTAAATGGTTTTATAGTGTTTTTTTTTTCTGATCTAAATGTTGGGAACATTTCAGACATTGAGAGGCAAAACCTCTTGGATGCAAAAACAGGAAGCATCAGATCAGTTTATTAGTCATCGATATTAATCTATGCAATCCATGAAGTATCGCTGTTGCAGTCTGGAATTAATTAGGCCTTATTAATTAATCAATTAATAATCAGATAGTAAAAGGTTCCTTAAAGAAGACTTTTTGCTAAATTTGAACAGGTGAAACTAAATCTTTTCCACTTGAGATGTTCTGAATAGAGCACAATGAAAGAAAACTTTTTTTTTTAATCTTAAATGCAAAATATTTACATTTTTCTTTAACAATTTTGATATAAGTACTCCTCTAAGTGGGTCGATCTGTCAGCTAAAGACATGTTTTACATTCTCTATACTCCAGTTAATGATTAATTGATTACTAAATTAGTTGACGGTTATTTCAACAACCGAGTAATCACGATTAATTGGATTTATTTTTTCAGCCCTAGAATGGATCACTTTTTTTCTTACAAGTCCAACAAAAACTGTCATAATTTAAATACCAAATCAAGCTATACAATCCTTGTCATGGAAGCTAAATTGATTAAAGCAAAGCAGTTAGTGATAATTCATTCTTCTTAAGATGTATGTTAAACCAGATAAATCTATTTTAACTTTAGAGTTTGGATGACATTTTATCAACACAATCTTAAATTTACTTTTTCCGTTGCGCCTGTACTAATATCTTTTCTATTTGACTTTGCTTTTTCTGTTAAACTGCCACAGAAGCTGCAGTAGGAGAGTGGAAAGCAGGTAGAATCTGGAGCAGAACACATCTCTTAAGAATAAAATAATTAAATAAAATGATGATACAACAGGAAGAATAACCTGAGAGAGAAATAAGCTTGAGGAAGCATTTATTGATGGGTATGAAAAGCAACGGCTTCATTTCAAGGTTACAGTCGAGGCTAAACACAGAAACCTATTCCTAAGTGTTACAAACAAAGGAAATGCAGCCTTCCTCTGCTTTAAGAAATGTCATTTAATTTAATCTTTTATTAAATCCAAATTTAAATGTACTTTTTAAATGTCTTGCAACTTAATTGATCCTAGAGTCCTCAATTGTCCTTTTCCCCCAAATCTGTGTTCTTAAATATTTTACTAAATCACAACAGAAAGATAAAAAGCTTTAGAAAATTACCTTTAAAAGAAACTGCTTTAAAAAAGACTTACATGTCCTTTCAAACAAGTCAGAACTAGTCTGCTTCCACAAAAAAAAAAATACTAATTACATGTTTTACACAAACATGGTCTTTTATTTTAGGCTCTGTTCAGACTGAGCTGTTAGGCCTCTGTTGCTTTTATCCAGATAAATGTAAGCTGTTTTACTCACACTTTATGGGACGGGGGGCTTAAACATTAGATAAAGACATTGGAACATTTTTAAAGCGGTGTATAACCTTTCCTTCTTGACAGACATGTCAACCTTTAGATCATCTATGCTTTTATGCATTTATTGCCTCCTGGCAGAGGTTTTATCTGTTTTTACACCTCCAGATTGTTTTTTCCACTTCTAAGGTCGCACTTTGAGATGGTTTTAAAATGTAAACTGCTGCACAAATAAAATGCATTATCAAGATGATTAAACATTACCACACCTTCTTCCTGACCCACCTGCTGTGTTCCTGAGTCTTTACTTGGCTGACTGTTTACCAAATGCTCTTAAACAAACTCCTCAGGCCTTCAGCTGAGATTAAAGAACACAGAGTAGGTGTACTCGTTACTAAAAAAGATGAATTCTGCAGCGAAAATGTTCCACTCAAGTTTATTTAGGAGCATTAAGAGTGAAGAGTACTAAATACAAATGCATGCCACACAGTTCAGATTTTAATTGGTAATAACCAGAAAAAGAATGTTAATCCTTTATCCTCCTCTTCACAATAATCTCCCTTTTCTGTTGTTATTTCATATAAAAGCTCAATAGAAATCATTGCATACGTGCATATATCTAAGTTTATCAGTGCTGTAAAGAAAAATGTAAAAAAAGGTTCTGTCTTTAAACCATACTGGATAAATAATCAACTTAGAATTGAATCATAGCTATTTAAAAAATAACCATAAAGTGCCCTGAGGCCAATGTCTACTAAGACCACTGCTGACCTAAAAGTACCAAAATACCAAAGAAAATATATATATATATATATATATATATATATATATATATATATA